TTTTGACAGAGGGGCTTGGCTGTACTCTCTCTCTCTCTCTCCCCTCACTCTCTCTCTCTCTCCCTCCCTCTCCATACATCCACGTGAACATATTACAGACTCGTGTGTAGTGACCAGCTGATGAGGACGACCTAATCATCACAGTAATTAATGCCCTTTCTGGATATCTACACACGTACCATATGTCAAATTCTGGAATTCTGGAATATTATTTTTGTCGCACACTTCAGGCATGCCAATTGTGGAGCAGCTGAAAGATCTAGTCCTTCTCTTCCTCAGAAGGACAGGCCTGTCGCTCACCCTCATCGGATCCGACACTGATGTGGGTAAAGTCTGCTCTTCCATAATCGCCAACTCGAGTCCTCTCTGGGCTTCCGTTCAAGGAGGGCGGAGGTTGGGGGCTGTGGAGTGTAGGCTTCTTTCAGCAGAAAGCTTTTCACGAAGGAGAACGGACGGACCACACGACAATGCTCCAGCCAGTGAGGTCCTGAACATCCAGATCTCAGCTTGCAGCCTTTGGCAAGCGGTTCCTGGCAAATGATAAGCTCTGGGAGTGAGGCCAGCAACCTCCCCGGAAGTTAAAACCCAAGTAGAAAGTCAACACACACAAGGAGCAAGCTCCATCGGGATGGGAGACCACTGGCTCGGAGCGCACGTCGCCAATGACACGACGGAGCCCGAGCCGTGAACCCCACACATGCTAGCGCAGAAGGTGTTCAGCGAACTAGTTGTCAGTCATCCGACAACTACCCTGACAAGGCTCTAAGCTTCATCCACTGCTTCGTGGGATCCGTGAAGGTCGTCCAAGCAGCCAAGCTCGAGGAAGCAAGGCCCAATCCCAACACCGTGAACTTCTTGGCGTCCTCCCAGCTTGCTTTGGAGGTCTGTTCGGGTCTGTATGTTTTTCAATATATGGGCTTGGCGATATGTGAGTTGATATTTATAGGAACAACTTAGGGTGCTAAAGACGGCCTCCCAGTCGGGTTTCGAACCTCACAAGCTGTTTTCGGCTTTTAAGGTCTGGGGGCTCTCATTGGCCCTAATCCCCGGTCCGGACGTGAGCCTCAGCTAAGAACCTCGAGAATTCGCACAATCCTGTCTATGTGATGCCACAGGGCATATTTAAACTATCATTATCAGTGACTATCAGGGTCAATTCGGAGCTTGGCGGAGAGTTTGAATGGGGTCTTAGATGGTTGATCTTCTAGAGAATGAGCTGAGTGCGAGAACAATCTCTGAATAGAAGCAGCCCATGCTCTCCTCCGACATGTCGGCAGTCCATGCCGAGGTAGTCACAAAAGTGATCACGACGCCCAAGAGAAGCAAGCAGGCAAAAGAGAGCTTGGCAATTAGCTTCAATCTCGCAGCCTTCTCATGGAAAACATCCGCCAAAGTCCAAGCACAGCGGAGAAGCAATAGGCCTTCCAGTGAACTGTTGTCAGGGAGCCGGTCAGAACGCGAGTGCTTCTGAACGAGGTTCCTCAGCCTCCGATGATCACTGAGCTCGCAGCTGTCCACGTCATGGGACTTCAAAACTTCGTACGCAGCAAGCCAAAGCCTCTTGTCGCGCTTGACAACCTCCACTCGCTTTTTCCCCCTGTCGTAATCTTTCCTTATTTGGTCCACCAGAATGCGGAAGTCTGGGTGTGCTCTGTTCTGCTCGTTTCTCCAGTACAGGCACGCCGAAAAAACACTCAAATCCCAAAGAGTGCCTAGTTGCGCCTCCTCCAGCCACGATGACAGCATAGCCTTCAAAGCGTCATGTGCACGCTCGAAGTCGTTCTCCAGCGCCCGTCTATTCAGCATTACCCGACTGTATCGACCTGAAAACAAACGAAGTCAGCTCGACTTGGGAACAAAACAGCGCTTGTCCGCTCGTAAAGGACAACTGTTCAGAGAATTATCACAACAGTAGCAACAAGGAACGGCGATGTTCGACGATGAAGAAGAACAATCGGTTCCTGAGGTCAAGGCCTTTGGCTTGCCAATCATTGTGCGGCTGAACTTCCAAGACGGGAATATCATCCACCTTGACCTCCCACCCGCTGAAGACGGCATAGTAGTGTAGGGTTTTGGCCCACCTCCTCTTCCATTCGGCTTGCAGTTCGTCCCAGTCATCACATTTGGAAAGTGCCGAGATAGCTTCTTCCAGTTTTGACATGATCATCCTCGATTCCTGAAGGCTCAGGGGCTCAGGCATTTTCAAATCTTTGCGAGCCCTTATGACATGCGAGGGCAGACTAACGTGTAGACAACTCACAGCAGGATCACCATCATGGTCCTGCTCTGTTTGCTTTGCTACGAAATCCACGAAGAAGTCGGTCGCTTTGATGATGTTCTTGTCTGCCGCCGACAATGCTTCGGAGACTTCGTCGCGGCGTAAGTCAGTATGCGTGCTGGTATGATGTCCCTCGAGCATTGCCTGGACGATGGCTTCGTGAAGCCAAAGCTCTCGGTCCTTTCGCTGTTTTTTCTCGTTGTCCTTTCGGTGGATGCCCGCACGAATACATGCCAGTGCAGACCCGATGTGCGTGTCATACAGGGGCGTTTCTAGGCTATTCAAGCGCTCGGCGTGCCGCTGCAGCTTTTGGCAAGCATCATGAAACGGCTCGCTGGCCAAGCTTTTTCTCGTTGTCTTTTCGTCTACATGCATGCTGATGTCGTCCAGCGGGTCGCGCGGCAAACGGGACTCAAGAGTGGTCTCGGCTGGCGGCTCGTGTTCTTCATCACTGTATCTACTGTCCAGCAGAATCAAGGGAATGCCGTTGGTGACATAGTTTAATGCCTCGAACTTCAAAACATTGACGTCGCCGCCTGTCCAAAGTGCGAGCACTGGGACGGACTTGCGAAGTGAAGAAAGGAACATGTTCTCGAACTGGACGGCCGCGCGTGGATCATGGAGTCCCTGGTCGTTCAAGCATTCAAAGACGAAGTATGCCGCGGCGCCTTCCACAAGCTGATGGCGTGGCCAGAGCACTGGGTCAATGCCGTAGTGATGAGAGAGCGCAGGGATGAAATCGGCACGCCTCCAAGCATCGTTGCTGTCTTGGAGCTTTCTCTCCAAACTGTCTGGCTTCAGCTTGGTGTTCACTTGCAGATTGCGCGCATGCTCGAAAATTACCATTTGAAACTTGCATTGGTCTCCAAGGCTGTTTTGAAGGGGCTCACTGACCTCTGCGAAGGCATTGGTCAAACTGCAAGAGCTCCTCCCGACGATCAGGGCTTCCGTCTGATGTGCCACAGGCAGGAGCACTTCCCTTGCGATAACATTCCTTGGCGGCTCATGACAGGTCACAGCACGTGCAAGTACCTCGGCCTTCTGCATCCACGAAGCGCTTACCTCTTCCAATCAATCGGTCTACCTCTACATTTCTTTCGCGCCCCATGTCTGTACAATCGCCTCTCTCGAGTCATCAGTGTTCGACTCCGTGCATACATGAGCACGTGATGTATGCTCACACATGCACGGCAAACACGCACACACACACACAAACAAGCAAACAAAGAGATAGAGAGAGGGGGGGGTATGTATGTCAATCAGTATGGGGCTGTATTTATATATATATATATATAAAGTAAATAGGCACATAAACAGACATCATGTGTGTGTCTGTCTGTGTACACTGCTTGACGATGACAACAAACCTGTCAAAGATAACACGCGTGCCAATGACAACAGTGAGAAATGGCAAAACTGTAGCATGGAGGGACAGCATTTCGGATTTGTGATTTCTTACCGGGATGCAGCCAATGCGACGGTATCGAAATGAGTCCTGCGGCTTGAAACCTAAACCAAGCTGCATCTGCTTCTCCACCTCCTCTTCATGTTGAGGGAGCTCTGGAACTGTTTTTGATGGCAAGAAGTCCTTCAACTTGGGCCGCCCCTTCCTGAGA